TCACTCACTCATTTTCTCACTCACTCACTCCCTCACTCTCAGTCACCCAGTCAGTCACCATGCCACTCACTCTCACTCAATCACTCACACACTTGCACACTCAGTCTCACACACACTCACTCACTGCCGTGGAGGCAATCTGACCCACAGGGACCCCACAGGGCAGGGTAGAGCTGTCCCTGTGGCTTTTGAGACTGCAACTCTTGACAGGAGTAATCAGCCTCGTCTTTCTCCCACTTGGTCCTTAGAAACACTAAATAACAAGTCAGCGCTGTGCGTGGGGCCCTGTCAAACTGTAAACAACAAAAAGCACAAGAAATGAGGTGTGGGGGGCGGGGGGGACGGACCAGGGTACTAACTAGACCCCTGACAGGTGCTTGCTAACAGTGTGAGAGCCGATACAAGAAAGCAGGGCATCACCTCCTTCGACCTTGGCTGAGAATGGGCCCCACGCAACGCACAGCTTCCTCCATCCTGCACATGCACGCAGCCGACTGGGCAGCGAGCGACCTTGGATTTAGGAGTTACAAGTAGCTTTAGAAAGTAGGCAAATTCGCATGCACAGCCTCCCCGTGAGGATCGGCTAGATTAGTTGAGCCCTAGGGTGAGCTGAAGGAGTCCTGGTGGCATAGTGGATTACTGCTTGGGCTCCCAACCTCAAGGTCAGCCGTTCGGAACCACCAGCCACTCTGCAGGAGAAAGATGAGGCTTTCTACTCCCATGAAGAATTAGTCTCAGAATGCACAGGGGCTGTTCCACCCTGTCCTGTGGGGTGTGGGGTTAAGGGGGAGAGGGGACCCCACAAATCATCACAGGTCTGGTAGGTGCAATTGTACAGCGATAATAAGTAGAGATTATAGTAAAGTCATAGAGAGCATGAGAGTTAGAGGAGAGGTTGGAATAAATGGAGTCAGACACAATTCATGGTAGCATTGCTCACCTCAGCCCTGCTTGATGGTCCTCGTGGGGGGAACCCAGCCACCAGAGCAGGAGCAGCCTCCGACCCGAGAGCTGGGGAGCCTCCTCGCCCGAGAACCAGGGAGGCTCTCCGCCCAAGAACCAGGGAGCCTCTCCGCCCAAGAACCAGGGAGCCTCCTCCTTTATTGCTAACCACGCATTGTATCACTTTAGGGGATATGATTACAGAATCACACGTCACAGAAAGGGGCAGTACAATTCATCCTTGGGTGGGTTTGATCTCTCAGGTGTCTCATACAATGAAACAGACAACTACTGTCCTGGGAGGCATGCAAGCCCCCTGATAGCAGATAACAACTACGTCATAGGGAGGGGTTGCAACATAGGCAATACAAGCAATAGGAGGGGGGTGACCTGGGGGTGAACACGCAGTAGTAAAGGGAGGGAATAGGGGAGCATGTGTGGCAAGATGGGTGGGCCCTGGACTTGATATGGTAGCCTAAGCTTAGTCATCCTAGAGTGGTCCCGGGCTTGCCTTCAGGCACTCCTTCAAGGGAACAATATCAGAAGGGAGTGGGCCCTATTTGTTGTGGGATAAACAGTGGTGTCTGCTTGGTCTAGACAGCTGATAGGTCTCAGGGAGAATGACTCCCAATCCACTCTTGATGACCTCCAAGTGTACAGTCATTCTCAAGCAGCTACGTCTGGTACATATTTGGGGGAGACAGCTTGGGAGAAATCCTTCTGTTTCCCACAGTGGGGTCTCTATGAGTCAGGATTGGCTTGATGGCCGTGAGTTTGATTTTCTGGAGTGTGAGCTGGGCACTCCCTGGCATAGGGGAGGCAGGAGTACACAGAGAAAAGTGACTCTTACCCACCTGGAACCCTGTTAATCCTGCACTGATCAGCAGTCCAACTAACAAGTGTGGACTCCTCCACAGAGCGATGTGCTCTGGAGGTAGGAAGGGTGGGAGAGGCGGCCATGGGTCCAGGGGCCCCCAGCCCTGAGCCGATCCCTCCATTCCCAGCCTCCCTCCAAAGTCTGTCTAGACTCCACGAAGCCACCCGGTTGCTGCTCTTCTTCCTGCAGGTATTGGACGTCACTGAGCAACCTGGTCGCGTCGCTGCTCAACTCCATCCGCTCCATCGCCTCCCTGCTCCTGTTGCTCTTCCTCTTCATGACCATCTTCGCCTTGCTGGGCATGCAGCTCTTTGGGGGCAGGTACAACTTTGAGGACATGGAGGTGCAGCGCAGCAACTTCGACAACTTCCCCCAGGCCCTCATCAGCGTCTTCCAGGTAGGCCGTGGGCCTGCGCACCTCTCCCCTTGCTGGTCACGGAATCCTGCTACCTGACAGCCGTGCTGCTCTCCATCTGCCTCCCGGGCACTCAGCACCCATGCCCAGGGTATGCACTTTGCTTTTGCCCATGCCCAGCACAATGCTGCGCGCAGTGGGACTCACAGGCATTCGCTGAGCGGTGGAGCTGGGCTGGGCTGGGCGTGGAAAGGCCTGTTCCTTCTCCCAGGGATGCACACAGCTCTGGGGGAAGTCAGACAGATGGTGTGCTCCCCTCTCCAGGCTGGGGAAGCCTTGAGAGTCAAACTGCTAGGAAGCATGGCTCCAGCCACTCCGTCCCTAAAATCTGCCCGGGAGGAAGCATGGCTAGGACTTCCCGGGAAGCCTCCTGAGCCAGGAACTCCCGGAGGCCGGGCAGCTCTTCCTGCAGACCATGGGGCTGTCCTTCTCTGCTGTAGTCAGTGCCCGTGTGCCCAGCGTGACACTGCCGAGTGCCCCAGCAGAGAGCTCCATCCTCGCTCTTCCATGGTTGGTCAGGCATTCTGACTTGACACGTGGTCCTCTTTCTGGAGGCTGCGTGGCAGGAGGTCTGGGAGGGCCTGTGGTTAAACTTGGAGATTGGGGACAGAACCTGGGAAAGTGGTGCCCCCACAATCAACCTCCTCAGCCCTTGGAGGAGGTTGATCAGCGATGGACCAGGAATGGAGAGGTGGAGGAGGGAAAGTTCTAGGACAGCCTGATGGAGGGAGAGGCCACTGGACAAGGCAGAGCCAACACAGGACTCTCCATCCCTCCACGTGTCTGCCACTCCCTCCTCCCTCCTTCTCCCCAGGTCCTGACAGGGGAGGACTGGACCTCTGTGATGTACAACGGGATCATGGCCTACGGAGGGCCGTCCTACCCGGGCATACTTGTCTGCCTTTACTTCATCATCCTTTTCATCTGTGGCAACTGTATCCCCTTGGGAGGAGTGGGCAGAAAAGAGCCCTGGAATGGAAGTGGGGAAGAGGGTCCAAACAAAATGCTCCAAGCCACCCACGCTCTAGGCAGCCAGGTGCTCTGGCTGGAGGGGAAGGAGCTCCCAGCCTCGCGGGGTGTAAGTGGGACTTCGTCGAGGAAGTTGTAGCTGGAGGCTTACTCTTCCTGCCCAGGGTTAGAGCACCACAGCGGACACCTGTTGGAAGTGGGAGGAATCAGTTAGGAAGGGTGGTGGTGGCCGTGCCCAGGGGAAGGGAGCGAGGGCCTTGAGTGAAGGCAGTGGGGACAGCAGGACCATTGGTGCAAAGGTCAGGAGGCTCCAAGGAAGGAATCATAGTTTTGTGGCCTGGATGGTGACGGAGTGTGGGCAGTGGGACCAGACAGCCGTGCTAGGACAGAGCTGAGACGGGGAGGCATGAGGCAGATGGGTCTAGGGGGAGCTGCCTGTGCCCCAAGGGTCCGGATGCCTGCACCTTGGAATAGGCTGTTCTAGGTGATGGGGCGCACTCTGACCCCATGGGATTTAGCATCATTGAGTGCACGTGTGTGCAGAGCATGATTCACTCCCGCCTCACACATCACCTTTGTGGGGAGGTGGGACTCGTTCCGGGCAGAAAAGGGATGGGACTCAAAGGCCATCGTGGACCCAGGGCCCTCTCCAATGGACTTCTCAGGAGGTTCTCATCTACCTCCCAGGGTCCCCGTCCTCCTGGGGGGATGCTCAGACAGATGGGCTTCAGCTCCCCTGTGGAGGGGTGGGGTAGGTCCTGCCAACACGTGCATAGGGCAGCACACCTGTTCAGCAGGTTGCCCTCCCACCAGCAACCTGAGGCTCCTTAGCTGCGCCCTTTCAGACATCCTGCTCAACGTCTTCCTGGCCATTGCTGTGGACAACCTGGCCGAGGCCGAGACCCTGACTTCTGCCCAGAAGGCCAAGGCTGAGGAGAGAAAGCGCAGGAAGATGTCCAAGTGAGTCAGTGCCCTCGGTGAGAGGGCCTGGAGATGCCTCCATGGCTGCAGACACCCAGCCCTGGGCAACCGCCTCCCAGAAGCCTGAGAGGCAGGGGCCGGGATGCTAAGGGCTCTGGAGGGTGCCGAGCCCTGCAGGGGGCACTGGGTGCAGGACGAGAGAAAACCAGCCTCCTTGAGTGACCTGTTTTAAAACTTGCTGTAAGTTTTAGTGACCCGTTGTGTCAGCTGAGCACTGCGCTCCACAGGGCATCTGTTCTGAGGTTTGTCCGGGTAGGCTTGAACTTCCAACTTCCAGGTTGGCGCCTGAGCAGGTGTATTCACACCACCCAGAGACTCCAGCTTTCTAGACTTGACCCACTCGCTACCACTGAGTCACTTCCAGCTCCTAGCTACATCAAGGACAGCGCAGAAACCTCAGCGGGTTTATCTTTGCGAGTGCACACAGCTCCATCTCTCTCTCAGGGAGTGTCTGGCGGGTTTGTACAACGCGTTGGAACAACATCACCAGGGTTCCTCTGCCTTCTGGATGCTGGTGCTGGGTGCCCTTGACTTGGCTCCAACACACTGCAACCCCATGCACACAGCACGAGACACTGCTCGGTCCGGGGCCACCCTCACACTCATCCTTATGTTGTTGAAGGGCTTCCACTTGAGAGTGCTCCTCCACTTGACCAAGCAGGATGACCAAGCAGGGAGACCAAGCAGGGACTGATCTCTCCTGACAATGGGTTCAAAGTACATGAAGCGAATTCTGGCCTTCTGGATAGGCCTTTGGAAACGGGTTGCCACACAAGAACAAGTCGGGCCAGCGTACATTGGTTCTAGGCACCGTCCCAGCAGACCTCCCACTGGAGGGAGTCTTCTCCTTTTGCTGAGCCCGGGGCATGTTGGCAGTGCAGTGGGGGAGTTTGGTTCATCGGGAACTCTTCATCAGTCGCAGACTCTCTGTCACTGGGCCTCCTTCTTGGGAACCAGCTTCCCGGGGCCCTAGTGCTGGTCTGAGAACCACATTTGAGTAAGTCTCTTTCAGACAAAGTCCTGCTTCCTCCAGGGTCTGTCCCTGCAGGAAGGAGGTGCTCGTTCTTGGTGAAGGAAGTTGAAAAGAAAAGGAGAGAGAGAGAGATCAGAAACAGTCTAGACCAGTGGTTCTCAACCTGTGGGTAGTGACCCCTTTGGGGGTCGAACAACCCTTTCACAGGGGCCGTCTGATTCATCACAGTAGCAAAATGACAGTGATGAAGTAGCAACGAAAATAATGTTATGGTTGGGGGTCACCACCACCTGAGGAACTGTATGAAAGAGATGTGGCCTTAGGAAGATTGAGACACTTCCCCAGAGCTGGACCAAGTGATCCAGGCTGTGAATTCTACATGAACTAGGTGCAAGCTTCTTTACGCCTCCTAACCAATCAAATGCTCAACAGCTGCGGCAGGCCCGCTACTTGCAGAGAAAGGCCTATTGCCATAGGATGAGCCAAGCTGCCCCCTCCTCCACAGAGCCCCCGAGCCCTCCTGGAGGGTCTTGTTCTGCTGATCACAACCCAGAAAACTTTCCGGTTGAACCTCCACCTTGTGTATTCTTGGTTGTCTAACTCAGGGGTCTCCCAGACAAGTCAGAGGAGGAGAAAGCAACGTTGGCCAAGAAGCTGGAACAGAAACCCAAGGGGGAGGGTATCCCCACCACGGCCAAGGTGAGCACATGGCGTAGGCCTGTGAGAGGTAGAACGGGAGGACCCCTGTGCCTTAGAGTGCTGGTGAGGTGGGGTGGGAAGCTAGAGGAGGTGAAGGCACCCACTCCCATGCTGGGTGGCGGGAGAGGCAGTGACTCAGCTCCCCTAAGTACCCTTGCTCCTGAGAGGTGCAGGTGCCCCCAGTTTAGGACTCAACTTCAGTCAAGATCTCAGCTCCCCCACCCCCACCCCCGCCTGAGCAAGAAGGTGACTTCCTCCCTGCCTGGTGCCTCCTGTTTCTGGAAGGCCCACGAGCGAACCATCCCACCAGGTCTGCCCACCCTGCTTATTCCAGGGTGGCTCAGCTCGTTTTCCTGGAAATAGAGAACGCAAAGCTCAAGAGCTTGGGTGCTTGGCGTCCAGAGTGACTGAGCCGCCTGTTCTG